AATTATTTGACACGCATTTCAACCTTTTTTTTACAAGTTGTTAATTATTTTACGTATGTTTTTGACTTTAAATAATTATTGTCAGCCCAAGCATTTTGATGGATCTTCAAGGTCACCTTTATTTATTTATTAATTCTAAGCAATTCAAAAAACGTTTATTAATGTTTTAACAGACAATGCACTTTGTTATTTGAGGATTGATTCCAATAAATATAGCACTTTCTTTTTTAGCTTCTTCGAAGACCAGGTCAATGTTGTAATTTGTAAGTGCTGAGCATTCAATATATTTCATTGCTCCGATCTCTGTTGCCAGTCTAATTCCATTTTCTGTTTGAATTGATTTGTTGTCTCTATTTACCATTTTTGTGTCTCTTAAGTCACTTTTGGTGCCCACAAGTATTATTGGAGTGGTCTGGTTATTCTTTTTAATTTCTGGTATCCAGATGGTTTCTATTTCATCAAAAGATGTTTGATCTACCAGAGAAAAACATAGAACAAAACATGTAGTATTTAAATAACACAGTGGACGGATAAGAGGGTAACCCTCGTTGCCATAAGTTTCTTTCAATACTTGTTTGATAGTCATGTCCTTATAAGTCATCTGCCTTATATCATCATCAAAAACAGCAGGAAGTTGTGGATCGGGAAAATATTGGTTTGCATAACGATGCAAAAGACAAGACTTTCCAACAGTGTCCATTCCATTGACTACAATTTTGAACGTATTTTCCCACCCCATTGATCGAATAAAAAGTTTTTCAATAATCTAAATATTTCTTTTTTATTGTATTTAAAATTATTATTATTATTATTTTTTAATTTAATTTAAAATATATTTTTTTTCAATTGTTATACAGTTGACCAAATAACTGTAAGAAAGGTTTATTTCCTGTTAAATACATTAAAAATGACTAATTAAAAAAAGTGAAAAAAGGTACACCAAATAATGCTAAGAAACCCATTTCTATTTTTAAAAATAGTTCTTGATTAATATTTTAAAATACAGATTTATCATTAGGAAAAAAGAGTGAATAACAGAGCCAACACAACACCAACGACTTTTATCCTTGATTTTAGAGAACTTAAACATTATCTTTGAACCAAAAAAATAAGATGTTTGTTCTTTGTATTAAATTGAATCAAATTGAAAATATATATTAACAAACCAGAGGCAACTCCTTGCCGCAACAACCCGCCGGAACTCCCTCTACATTTCCACCACGGCAAGTGGAAACCAGCCAACTCTCGCCGATGAACGGTCTCAACCCGAG